TTTAACTTGAACATAATAAATGAAGAAAAATTATAATAAATGGAGATGCGATATCGATCCTCATACCTCTCACACGTTAAACAAGCGCTCTACCATCTGAGTTGCATCCCCTTCATATTTTTTTTGTTTGCCTAATAATTTAGTAAACATATCTAGTGTTACACTATTCTAAATTCATTATAACAATTAGCAAATAATAAGCTATACAAATTTTAATCTTGTCACGATTATTATTTTGACTGAAATTAGTATAGCAAAATTATATAAAAACGAATTTAAATATAAAAAATATAATTGTAATAAATAATTTTGCTATAAAAATTAAACTATATATATCACAAGAATTATTTTGACAGAAATTAATATAACAGAGTTTTAACTTGAACATAATAAATGAAGAAAAACTATAATAAATGGAGATGCGGGGTATCGATCCCCCTTTTGCATGCTAAACGAGCGCTCTACCATCTGAAATATATCCCCTTCTTTTTTTTTTACCTAATAATTTTATATAGTAAAAATATCTATTGTTACACAATTATTTTGACAGAAATTATAACAGAGTTTTAACTTGAACATAATAAATATAATAAATAATTTAGTTATAAAAATTAAATATAAACTAAGCGAGCGCTCTGCCATCTGAGCTACATCCCATTAATATTATTTTTCATTACACTGACTCTAAATTCATTATAACAATTAGCAAATAATAAGCTATACAATTTTTAATCCTGTCACGATTATTATTTTGACAAAAATTAGTATAGCAAAATTATATGAAAACGAATTTAAATATAAAAAATATAATTGTAATAAATAATTTGGCTATAAAAATTAAATTATATATATCACAAGAAATATTTTGACAGAAATTAATATAATAAAGTTTTAATTTTGCTCTACCATCTAAGCTACATCACCTTAATATAATTTTTCATTACCCTGACTCTAATTTCATTATAACAATTAGCAAATAATAAGCTATACAAATTTTAATTTGAACATAATAAATGAAGAAAAATTATAATAACTGGAGATGCGGGGTATCGATCCCCGTACCTCTCGCATGCTAAGCGAGCGCTCTACCATCTGAGCTACATCCCCTTCGTATTTTTTTGTTTACCTAAAACTAATAATTTTATATAGTAAAATATCAATTTTTACACAATTATTTTGACAGAAATTAATATAACAGAGTTTTAACTTGAACATAATAAATGAAGAAAAACTATAATAAATGGAGATGCGGGGTATCGATCCCGTACCTCTCGCATGCTAAACGAGCGCTCTACCATCTAAGCTACATCCCCTTTATATTATTTTTTGTTTACTATCTAAATTATACAAATTTTAATCCTGTCACGATTATTTATTTTGACAGAAATTAGTATTGCAAAATTATATGAAAACGAAGTACGAAATTTTAAATATAAAAATATAATTGCAATAAATAATTTGGCTATAATAATTGCAATAAATCACCCAAGAAGTCTTTAATTGACTGCGCAATAAACTGTTCCTACATGCCTTAGTCATCTGACTCGGGCGAGCTAATTGTCAGCTAGAATTTGAAATCAGATGGTCATGGCATTAACAAGGGAGATTATTGAATCATTGCAACTTGTGCTTGGTGTGATTTCATGACCTAAATATGGCATTGATCTATTTATGATTTACTTGTCGTTTTAAGATTTTTCAACAACAAAATGATGTCTTATCAATTATATCATGGAATCAACATGATTGCTATAAGATAATAGTGATCATAGTCTTAATATAGTGCTATAACTATTTATACTATATGTTTACTTACTGTATAATCAATCAATCGTATCGATATGTTGATGTATGCACTACAAAGCATATATATATATATATATATATATATATATATGTTATGATGTGATGAACGGATTAAGTCAGTTATGATATAGTCGTGGACTTTTGATGTGGAACAGTGCAATTCCATTTGTGCCCCTTAACATATGTAAAATATCGCCATATGCCTCCCTTAAAAAAAATTCAAATGTCGTGAATACCCCTAAAATAAAATATTTGCATAAATGTTAAGTTATCTATAAATATCGAGGGTCGGTTCAACGCTAGGGTTTCAATCTCATCCTCGTCTTTATCCTTTTCCATCTCCTTGTCGTCGGGTATCTTCTTCGATTCGATCCGATCCGATTGAGCGGCCGACATGGAGAAGAAGATCACCCTCAGGAGCTCCGACGGCGAGGTGTTCGAGGTGGATGTGGCGGTGGCGATGGAGTCGCAGACCATCAAGCACATGATCGAGGACGACTGCGCCGAGAACGGGATTCCCCTCCCCAATGTCAACGCCAAGATCCTCGCCAAGGTCATCGAGTACTGCAGGAAGCACGTCGATGCCGCCGCTTCCAAGTCCTCCGACGACGCTTCCAAGGTTGATGAGGAGCTCAAGCCCTGGGACGCCGAGTTCGTCAAGGTCGATCAGGCCACCCTATTCGACCTCATTCTGGTACCGATCTCCTCCTCTTCCCTGTTTTTACTTGTTGCATTAATGACCGTCTGCTTATGGAAATTTTCAGCTACTTATTTCTGAATTTTATTGCGAGTCCTTGAAGACTCTAAGTCAGATCATGTCCTTCCATAAAAGGACTTCTGCAGATCTCCTTTACAGGATGGCCTTGCTACTATAAAGTATTGGGGTGAGGGTGCTCACATTGATCCTCCCCAGACTCCGCTTTGGCGAGAGTCTCGTTCACTGATTTTTTTTTTTTTTGGGGTCATGATTAGTTGTTTTAATTCAAGAACTCCTATGAATATAGAATAGTAATGTATAGAAACGTTGATGATATTTTAGCAACTAAATGAGCACATATTGACCCACATCAGATCCCTCATAAGCAGGAGCCTCATGCACTTGTCCATCTTCTTTGTTGGCCATGATAAGTTGTTGTAGTTCAAGAACACCTACGAGTACAGAATAGAAATGGAGATGATATCTTAGCTAGTAAATAGGTAGAAGTAAGATGGGTTTCGCTGCCAGCATCAGGTGAAGAAACACAATAAGGTGGATGACAAGTTGAGGGAAGGATTACATGGCACTGGCTGTAAGGAAGAAGAGTAATGGTCAATCATTTAGAGGTAGGATAAGAAAGAATAAGCATGGGAGGAAGTTGTGCTGTTGATACAATGGAAGAAGAGTGACATTTTTTAATGTTTTTTTTACCGTTTCCAGTATTTGCATTTACTAGAATAGAGTGGTGACTGGTAGATACTAACTTTTGGTAGTGTAGATGGTAAATTTAGTTTTCTAAATTTAATTAAAATTTAGTAATTGTATTCATTTTGTTTCTTTTACGTTTTAGGTTATAGTTACTTTATGTTTGTGTGTGGCTTTCACCTTTAATTTACTATTTTGGATTTTTTTTACTTTATTAATAATTTCTTTTGATAAAGGGAAATTCTATGGAGATCAATATTCTAGCCTATTTAAAAGGGGTCAAATGACAAGATGAACAGTAGAGTTCAATGATTGTTGAATGCTATTTCCTCTACCTAGAAAAAGAGGTAGCATGAAAAGGTAGAGTGACATTAGCAGTCAATGCTATTAACATCTTAGGTTGAGTTAAACAAGGAACTAATTTGTTCAATCAGACTTTGACATGGTCACTGGTCAGCGGTGGATCAAAGGCAAAGAGTAAGCAGTTAGTGGTCATAGAGTAACCGGTTTAGTGTCTAAGACACAGTAGTTACCTAGTTAATAGTTCATCGTCCAAGAAAATAATACATGATTGATAGTTCATAGTTCGACCAAAAATAGTGCATGCCATTTAGCTATGAAATTTTGTTATGTTTATGTTTGGCAATGGTCTACTCAAGCTTTCTAAGGAATGCTAGACTCATCACTTTTTGGTGCGCTAGTAGAATAAGTTTTTGGTACAGTAAGAGCAGAAGTTGAGTCCCTTGCCAAAGTTAGTGGTGTACCTTTCGGTGCATTTCCTATTTAGCAGTGAAGCCCACAATGAAGAATTTGCTACTCAATTTAGTCAGAGGTTTCATCATAAGTTTAGAGACTTTCTTTAATTTTTCTGTTGCCTTTTTTCTTGCACTCTATTTGATATGTATATATAAGTTCACAAGCGATGTCCCTTGCCATGTATTATCCCTCAAGTTTGAGTCAGATACTTGGCATGCTTCTAAAGCAAAAAATATCTGGCCAATTTTTTCCTCTCGTTTTTTGAAGCTAATTGTGGAGCTTGTCCTGAACATCTTCTTTACTTTCTTCAAATGAAGGTAGCCTCTCATGGAACCTGGTTTATCTTGATTACGAGTGGTTTGCCTTGTTTTGGTTTTGGTGTCTTGTGACAATGAGGTTGACACACAGGCATTGTTTGAAGAACTGAATGGTGAAAGCTTACTGTATGGCACCCAAGTTTCCTCCCACTAATGATATGAATGGGAAATATAAAATCATCACCTAAAGCTCTTGACCTCTAAATATTGGCCTTTTTGTAGAAAAAGAAACCATTTATTTCTGTAGAGTATTTGTTTTGCCTAAAGGTGTTAAAATTTTTTCTCTCTCCTTGAGCTGAGCATATGATAAAGAGGTTTTATTCTCTGGTTTGTATTTGACGTAGAATAAGCTGTTGGTTCAATTGATAGGGTCTATGGTGACAAGAGTGCACACATAGAGAGGGTGAAAATGATAAACATGAAAGTGAAGAAGAATTAAGCAATAATTATAATTGAGTCATTCTCTTTCGTCACATTCATTACTATCAGGTGTTTAGACTTCTAACACGTCATTATGTCTTGATATTTATGGATATTTAATCTGTATTGTGTGTGCCTGACTGAGGTTTGAGGAGATATCAACTCTAAATCCATGAGGGTTATGCTACAATAAATCAATTTTTTTTATAGGAAATTAAACATTTAAGGTCCTGCATAGTTGTAGTCATACTTATTCAGCTCTGTCCTGCCTGTTTTTTTTGGTTCAAAATCAAACATTTTAGACATGCATGTTTACTTGATTAATTTCACTTAGGTTCTTTATGTTGAAAGCGCGCACGCGCGCGCACACACACACACATACATACATATATACACACAAACACATAAATGTGGTTAGTCACATTTTGATTTGAAAATTCTCATACAAAGATCAAAACACCAAGTCAAAAATCAATGATCAAACTTTTTTATGTGATTTTGTTTCCTCAGAATTATGTGATAAATTATGAGATCCTGAAAGCATTTAATCATTTATCGAGTGATGCAATGATTCTACCATATAGGATGATTTACATAATTAATTTTTAGACAAGCCAAGTAGTCAACCAATGGACAAGTGAACTCCAAATGTAACAACTAATTAAAGAAAGAGACTCTGGATGATGTGGATCAACTTCAATATTTTGAACATTGATTTTGATTTTTCTTCATAAGATAGTAAAGATTTTATAAACTGAATTGACATCAGATTGACCTGAAATGAGCTGCATGCTCTCTCTCTCTCTCTTTCTCTTTCCACACACACACACACACACATTACATTTTTATCAGTTTTATCAGTACCTGTATTCCATCCATTTTTGGAGAGCAACCAAAACACTAGTATTCAAGCAAGCATAATTTATGTAAATCACATTTGTCTTAAACAATTAATTTGGTCTTCCATTTCTGCAATTTGAGCTGTATGGTGTCCTTGACATTTTCCAGTCAGTGCTTTTAGCTTACATGGGTACATAACCAAATAGTGGTAATCATCTCTGAACCTGAAGATGTTACTGGTCCTCCATATTTTATGAATGCAGTAAGGCTTGAATTCAGGTGAAAGAGTGTTTACCATGGCATTAACTATATCTTTAGGCTAATAGATTTCAACTAGGGAAGCTGTGAATCGTGCCATCTTGTGTGGTGAGCACAGCTCATGGGTCCCACAGGATATAAGAACTTGTATGTGTACGACGGAGTGAAGGGTAATGAGGCAAGACCAGTGAAGGACATCAGGACAAGGGTGGTTCAACTGGATTGGATATGTGTTCAATCATGTAGTGTAGAGAGCTTAACCTCTTGTAGGTGGTTATAAACTCGATCCTGTGTCGACGGAAAGGTCTCTTCTCTGATGGAAGGGCTGTTCTTTTTTATCCACAAGATCAGAGTGTTCTCATGATATGTTTGAGAAGTTAGCAAGTAGTATAGTGCCTAGTATATCAAATTCCAGACCTTATAGTAATTTAAGAAGTATAATGGGCAGACCTTATAGTAATTTAAGAAGTATAATGTGCCCATTGATTTACTTGTGTACTTAACATTCGGGTATTAACGGTTGTAGCTGTTTGTGATTCTTGCTGAGAGTTGATTGTTGTCGGATTTTAGATTCACGGTGTCCTTGCCACAGTTGTTGTTTGGTATCTTATACCCATTTAAACTGGAATTGTAAATTTCTACAGATACAAATTTTTATTCACAAGTTTAATACGGATAAATTGTTTCAACGATCATGTGGTGCATTCAGGCTGCAAATTATCTGAACATAAAGGGGCTACTTGACTTGACTTGTCAAACTGTCGCCGACATGATAAAGGGGAAGACTCCTGAAGAAATCCGCAAGACCTTCAACATAAAAAATGACTTCACCCCCGAGGAGGAAGACGAGGTGCGGAGGGAGAACCAGTGGGCCTTCGAGTGATCCGAGTTGAGTGTCTCCTCTCCTGTCCATTAAAGCTTCCTTTTAACTTCTCTCATATTATGATTGCTAGTAGTGGTATTGTGGATTCTACATGCAGTGTTTCCGGTCCGTAAGTTGGCTTAAGAAGTCCCAATATGAAAGTGTCAAAGGGCTCGAGGATGGTGACTTCGGTGTTCACTTTGGCTCTGTAATGTTATGACCCTCTTTAGTGCTACCAGTTGTATGCATCATCTGACTCTGATATGGGAAGACTTCCTCCTGTTTGGTTTTGAGCCATGGATCGTTTGGTCTGCTTACACACCCGCACAGCATAAATCTTTATGGATTTATGTTGCCTATGTTCAGTAAATAATATTCTGTGATTCCTTTTTTTTTTTTTGCTTCCACTATAGCAGGTTATGAGATAAACTCAAATAGAGCGATGCTTTTTCTAGCTATCACGAGATACTTGGCTCTCCCATGATCACCCCTTTGATTACTTTTCATCATAATGTGGAGTGATGTCGACGTCTTCAATATCGAAATGTCCACATAAACAATTATTTTCTTAATGGTGTATGAATACCTCGAGTTCAGCGCACATAATTATGTTCTTCTAATTAACCTTCCATTGTCATTATTATGTCACTGTCAGTTGAAATTTTGATTGACACTAGTAGTGTCTTCTATTAGTAAATTCTAGTTTGTTTTAGGAATGTTACATATGCATATGTTAACTCTATATTAAAATTTTATAAGAGAGCACTGTTTTTAAAGATAAGGGGTGTGCATCACGGGACCATTCCCTCTCTCTCTCGCTCTCTTCATACCCCTTACCCTCCCTTCCGTCATCCTTTTTATGGAAAAATATCTGATACTATATATAATTTTAAATTATAATATGACATATTTCATGATGCATTTTAATCAAACATATGGTCCCTACGGTCATATTCTCACATCAATGCAGGAGTAGGATACCGGTAAACACAAAAACGTCATAGAGAATTATGTGCAACATGACATTACCCGAAACAGCAGAGGTCGAGAGGTATTCATGAAGCATCACTTGAACCGCAACCATTCTGGGCACAGGGAGCAACAACCGGCAATGTCAGTCCCAAGAAGAATAGAGAGGAAATGCCAAACGAAGTGCGATAAGAATAATGGCGTGAGCAGACTACCACACAGAAATTACCATGAGACAACTCGAGTTTCATTTCCGTTGGAAGTATCAGAGCTGCATAATATGAGTATAATAGAATGTTAGTCACGTTTCCTCGACAGCCAGGATGTTGCTGACAAACTTCTTCCTAAAATTTCATGAACAGAGAATAAATCAGCGTAATTGTCTTCCGACAAAAAGGAGACCTCGGAAACAAGCTTACATAAAATACAAGAGTCCCATTGTTCATAAGACCTCAACATTCTGCTGGGAAGCTATTGCATCACAATTGTTGCAATACCAGTTTGTCATGACCAGAAGGTCCACAACTTCGAAGCTGGAGAATGCATGCGCCTTTGGATTCGTACAGAAGTGACAGTTATTTTCGAACAGCATATGCACGCCTTCCAACGTCGTCATGATGTTGTACCCAACCAGCAAATTTTCACGCTGCCACAGGAATTAATCCCTGAAAGTAAAAAAAAAAAAGAGTACAAATAGAAAATGTAAATATCATGTGGGGAAGAGAATAAGGGGCCGAGTGTGGAATATTATCATCTGTTGCCAGAAACTAAATAGTAGTACCATGACAATGCAAAGGAATTATATTTTTACCTACTAACGAAATCAGACTCTACAGCATTGACCAACTGATGGCTTCCAACTTATAATAGGTTTAACAAAATTCAGTGAATTTGTCATGACAGGTAAATTTTTTATGTGCTGCAACTCGTGCTTAGCTTGGTTTGATTCTTGATAGATAGATATCAGTTTTTGTAACTCACGCTACCAAAATTGGGGAAACACTAATTGCATGTGTGCGCCTTTCTACTGTAGTCACTTCACAACTGATGGCACATTGCAATGTGCAATAATACATAACAAATTATCAACGAAAGTACATCTACCATCTCAATTCCTTTCAAGCACAGCACCAATAAGCCATCTCAAATATCTTACGACTAACTATCTTTTCCTCTTACTCCCCTCATACAATTGAAATACTCAGTTCATGGACCTCAAACACTATTCTTAAGCCTGTAGACCTACATCTGTCCAAATTTCATATTCCATGTTGCATATAATTAGAACAAAGACCACGTTGTGCAAAACATGAAGACATCAAGAATTAAGCCTTCAGAGGTCATACTGTAACACTTTTTTCTAGTTTATAATAAATACTGGAAACTTATTTATAGTTACAGAACTTAATTAACTATCTACCCACTGTCCCTGGAAAAACAACTATCTGGGCAAATGATATTGAAAACTAACATCATGTGTAACGTTGGCAGAATGCCAGGCAAAATTTGGAGGATAGTAGTCACCAAGGCTGATCAACAATTCTTGTTGAAGAGAAAGGATACTGGATCATGAACAACATTTGATTGAAATACACATCCTTAAAAAGAAGAGCATCACATAGAATCTCTGAAAGAAAATCTAAGTCATATTTGATTCCAACAACCAAGGGTTAAAGTCCTATGCACCTATTTATTATACAGTGTTGCAAGATACAGTCTATGCAGCCACATGTGTCGCTATATGGCTGCTACTTTGCATCAGAATCTATGGAAGCATATACAATCCACATAAATATGAAAAATTAGATCATGTGATTCGCGAATACTCATTACTTTTGCAACTTAAGAAGATCACGAGATGAAATGTCCCCATACCCTTGTTTACTTAAACTGTAGCACATGTTTACCTTTTAAAACTTTAAGCTTGATTATATCTCTTTATACTTAATTAAATGTTATCTCCAATATTCTAATATGAACCGATTATGTGGCAACATGTCTGCAATTTATATGTGTATGGGTTATGTAAGACCTTTTTTGCCTCCATACCATGGCTGCTTTAAAAACATTGTTTACAGGTGTCTTCTTGCCAAAACTTCAGCTTGCCAACTATTACCCATAGACCATAAACTTACAGACCAGATCTTAGAACCTCCCAAAAAATCCTTTGCAATTTTACCATAGCAATGTGGCAAGTATTATGCATTCTAAACCTAGTAAAACAACCCAAATTGACAGCCCATAAACTAGGGCTTAATGCATAATACACCTTGTCAATTGTCTATACAAGAAGAATCCATGCAAAAGGACAAACGTGACATGAGGTACATGAAAAAAAAAAGGTGATATTTCTTTAATTGCAATAGTCACAGCAGGCACCACAAAGGTCAAATGCAAATTCAAATATATAGTCATACAATATCTTAATATATGTGTATTAGAATAAAATTTAGTGACCATGACATCCTTCTGAGAACAAATGTCACCACCTGAGCAAATTTTCTTATGATAACAGATGTCAACAAAATATGTGTGTGTGAAAGAGAGAGAGAGAGAGAGAGAGAGAGAGAGAGAGAGAGAGAGAGAGAGAGAGAGAGAGAGTAGTAGTAGTAGTAGTAGTAGTAGTAGTAGTAGTAGTAGTAGT